TGCCCTTTTTTGGGGCTGATATAAGCTGCCAGGATGGGTTTGTACTCCCTTTGGAGCAGCATGGCTCCAGGCCTGGAGGGGAGCAATGGCAGGGCACAGCAAGAAGGGAGCATCCTTCTTTCTGCACTCTTCCAGGAAGCTGGACCTGCAGATCTGGGCATTAATTAGGACTTCAAACACCGCTCTGAGCACTGCATGTCCATTATCTTTGCTGTCAGGGAGGCAGCTGCTTCCTTCAAGCTGAATGATGGGTTGTGTGACCCAGGAGCGAGAGCCCGTGGCATATTTTGTAAGATCAACTATTTTCCCCTGAAGATCCTCCCTCAGAGCTTGCCAAAGGGACAGGAGGCACCTGGCCATTCCCAGAACCCTTCTCACCAAATCTCAACTAATTCAAAACCAGCACACCCAGGGACAGCCTGGCCAGGCCCCAACCTCTGCATGCCTTTTTCACCCTGGCATTGGGCACCACAAAATCATCCTTCAGCCTCCTCTCTCTGGCTGTGCCTGGTAAAATGCACAGGTTCCAAGTGCCCCAGTGCTGTTTGCATCCCATCTCCACTGGCACACCATCCAGATGCCTCCCAGCTCCTGGGATGCAGCCCAGAGCTCCTGGCAGGGCCACATTCCCGGGGCAGGCTGCAAAGGGCCAGTGGCACAGATGGGAGACAGAACCACAGGATCATTTAGCTTGAAAAAACCTCCAGGATCATCAAGTCCAACCTGTGACCGCTCCCCACCTTGTCACCCAGCACTGAATGCCACTTCCAGATGTTCCTTGGACACCTCCAGGGATGGAGACTCTGCCACTTTGCTGGGCAGCCCCTTCCAATGCCTGGCCACCCTTTTCATGAAGAAATTCTTCCTGCTGTTCAACCTGACCCTCCCCTGGTACAAACTATGTCCTCTTTTCCTGTTGCCTGGAAGAAGAGGAAGACCCACACCTTGCTACAGCCTCCTGTCAGGTAGTTGTAAGAGTGATAAGGTAAATCAAACCTTGTGGGACCTGCTAGAGACTCCACTGGGTACAGCAGCTCTCCCTGCCTTACCAGAGGACTGTCCCTGGGATCGGGCTGCTGCCATCCCCACAGAAAGGCCAGCCTGAAAATTCCTCACCAGAGCTGATAACTGAGTGCATACATGGCTCCCTCCCAGAGAACCACCCCAGGGCAGCTCCACACACAGCGTGTTCCAGCAAAACATCTCGCAGGGCAGCAACAGGGCTGGGGAGGAACCAGAGGAACTGCACCAGCTGTGCCATGCCAGCTCCTTCCTGGCTGCCCCACCCCAGCCACTCATCCCAGCTGCTGCTGGCACATCCTGAATCACTGCAGGACACCACCCAGGGGGCACTTTGCAGTGGGTCTGTCCATGGGATGGATGTTTCTGCTACACCTGCCCAGATTCTCATCCAATTCCCAAAGGGCTTTCTCTTTCCTCCGCCCTGCCAGTAACTCTGGTGCTGTGCCCTGCATCCTGTGGTGCCTGGGAATAACCAGGTCTCCCCCATCACAGCACCTCATCCCAGCCATCATCTCTTGTGCACAAGCTTTAAACTACTTCCCTGTGGCCCTGCCTGTTTACACTCACCGTGGCCACAGACTTCACTCAGCTCCTTAACTCACACCACGCTGGGTGGTGCTTTGTAGCCAAAATTGCAGGATGCTTTTAAGCAAGGTGTCGTCCAGCTCTCATTAGAGCAAGAACAAGAACTGCTCTGGCCTTGGGAGGATCCAGGTGAATCCTCTCTGGGTTCTCTGTTCTCACAAGCTCATTCTTTAGCTCAGCCAGTCCCAAGGGGTTTTATTCACATGTAGGGAAATCACCACTTCTGCCTGTGTCTGTTACAAACATCAGAATAAAACTCTTCAAATTCCATCTGAATGGAATCCTGCCCCTAAGGGACTAAAATCTTTTCTTCACAGCAGTCTCTGAGCACTTGGAGATCTTCCCAGTGTCTAACCTGAATTTGGGAATAGCTGCCATTCGGTTGGACTGCATGAAGTCAAAGCCCTTATCAGACAGTCCGTGGAGGCTGATCAGGGTGGGTTCTGCACCCCCACGTCCCTGCAGCCACCCAGCCTGCCCAGAGAGCAGCTGGATTCTTGCTCTGTGGCCTGTTCCTGCTGGGCAAGCAGGATACCAGAGTCCCTGCAGAGAACAGGGGCCAGAGCTTTGGCCCTACAGCTCTTAGACCTCTGTGCTGCTTTGGCTTGAACCAAACTCCAACCCATCACATTAGATAATTCAAACTCCACATGTGACTTTCCAGGGTGATAAAAGGGAAAACTATGGGCACTGGTATAATACCAGTTGATCTGAATGTTGATAAAATAAATAGCACATGGATAATATACTCTCAGCCACAGGACAACGTAATTATTGGTTGTACTAATGGGACCACTGAGGCCCAGGGCATCACATGTCTGGGATGGTGGAGGCCTCTGATTCACGTGCAGCAGCAGCCAAATACTCACAGCTTCAGCAGAGAAACCACCCCCAGGGGTTAGAGACAGAGGATGGTTTGGGTTTGAGGGGACCTTAAAGCTCACCTCATTCCACCCCCTGCCATGGGCACCTTCCACTATCCCAGGGTGCTCCAAGCCCCGTCCAACCTGGCCATGGACAATTCCAGGGAATGGGGAGCCACAGCTGCTCTGGGAAACAGAATCACAGGCTCACAGAATTGTTAAGGGGACCTCTGGAGATCCTGCAGTCCAACATCCCCCAGGGCAGGGTCATCTAGAGCAGGCAGACAGGAACACATCGCAGACAGGAACACATCCAGGAGCATTTGGAACCTCAGCAGACAGGAACACATCCAGGAGCATTTGGAATCTCCTGGTTTCCAGAGGGGGAGACCCATGACCTCCCTGGGCAGCTGTTCCAAACAGGGCCTGGCTTAGCAACAACCTCTGCCAGCTCTGTCAGCACCCATGGGTGCGTGCCAGGAGGGCCCGTGGATTTACGGGTGTCGAGTCTGCCTGGCTGATCTCTAAGCCAGCCATCCATGTCCAAGGGGAAATCTTCCTTTCTTCACCCTTCTCTAACTCCTGTGGGCCAACCTCAGCAGTAAAGACTGAGGCAAAGGAGGCATTCCAGATTTCCACCTTCTCTGTGTCTTCCCTGTTCCAGGGCCTCACCACTTTCACAGGGAAGAATTTCTTCCTGACATGTCACCTAACCCTGCCCTGTCTCTGTTTGGAAACATTCCCTGTTGTCCTGCAAAGGGCTTCAGGATCTCCTGACTGTTCAGGGCATTTCCTGGAAACCAAAAACAGAAGCAGGAGCTTGAAGGGTGTCAGACACCTCCCACCCAGGACAGGTCAGGGTGAGGCTGCCGATGACTGAGGGCTTGAAATCAATGGTTGAGGAGGGACCTGTCCCTGCCCTGGTCAGTGCTGTGCATTTCTGGAAATTTAAAGACAGAAAAACCCCCATTTCCCTGCACCTCACTGGTGCCTCTGCTTCCCCAGAAGCTCATGTCCTTTCCTAGCTCCACCTGATGAACAGCTGCCCCTTCCCGCTCTGTTTCTCAGCAGCAAAAGGACAGCAAATGATTTGTAATAAAGGAATTAAGGACAAGATTTTTAAGTGAGCCAGAGGGAATTCAATCCCCTGCAGTTCAAACCTTCTGCTTTCAGGCAGAAAAGTTCTTCCAGCAGCACCAGCACAGTGTCTGACTTTGCTCCCCAGTGATGAGAAGAAGCCCTTTGCAAATGGGGTTCGACCTGTGCCCGACTTCTGCCACTTCTGCATTCGAAACCCCCATGATAAAAGGTTTAGATGTCATTTTCTGCTGCATTACGTCACATTAAGTCATGTGTTGTCACCCTACACCAAGCTCACAACAAGCTGTGTCCTGGTGACTCAGTCATTTAAGCTGAAATACAGTCCCCTCTCCCGAGGCATTTGTGTCAGGGTGACATCTGAAGAGCACATAATATTCTGTAATTCTCTGAGTAACTGTTTTCTAGCTGCAAAAATGAGATTTCTCAAAATTTACAAGAAAATTATTTATTAGCACATGGGATAACATTAATGCAGAAAATCCCCATTAGAAAAGTGGTGTCAGGGAGCGTGTCCACCACTGATCCCATCAGAGGAACAGCACCCACTCTCAGCCTCCCATACTGAAACTCTCTAAAATCTCAGGGAGACATCACATTTCAAGAATACTTTCTCAGAACTAACAGGCCTATCTGCCTCTAGAACTCTGAGAAATTTCCTTCTGCAACAGCTCTCACTCCTGACATTCACAGCTGTGTCACTCCTTATTCTCAATTAGCATGAAGCCACAGCACTGTTATTAGGAAAACTCATCTCTGGAAAGGGTCACTGCAATTTAAACCTGACTTTAGCCCTGACTTTCCCATTTGCTACAACTGAGTATAAATAACAGTGTAAATAAGTATAAATAAACAGTATAAATAACAGTAAAACAGCATAAATAATATAAATAAACATGGATAACAGTATAAATAAGAAGTATAAATGCTTCTGAAAGCATTTTATCATCAATTTTTGAATCTGGGCACCCCATCTAAGTAGACTGCTCCCCATCCAGAGGTCTTTACACCCCTGCTGTTTGCTCTGGTCTGTGCAGTGCTGCTTTCACAGGTGAGATTGCTCAGTGGGTAGGTGAGGGTTGCTCTCATTTTTCACATGCTGCAGCAGAGCTGCCTGAGCACAGCCAAGGACCACTGGCACTGCTGATGAGCTGGAAAGAAGTCATGAAGCTGATTATAGCCTGTCAGCCTCTCTAACCACTTCCAGCAATTAGATTTAAGGACTTTCTTACTAAATTTGCAGAAATTGCTTCCTTTCCTCCTGTTCCTCTGAGCAAAATCAGCAGAGCCTGATCCCAGATCTGCCCACTTGCACTGTCAGGACAAACAGTCCCAGTGCACCTCCAGACTGCTCAGGCAGAGCCAGCAGCGACTCCCCCAAGCCCCTGACCTTTACCAACAACCCCAGCAAGAGACAGCAAGGATATTTACCTTCAGGCCAGGTGCATGTCATCCAGCAGCTCGGTGGGTGCTGGGTTCTGGTCAGGGACTGCTTGGATTGATGCCAGCCAGCTCCAGGGATTTGTGGACTAATTTCTTCTCCTTTCTGCTCAACCCTAGTCAGTCCTCTTGCAATTTAAACCCCTCTAATTCTGCCAAGGCAGGACCTGCCTTCCCAGCCCCTTCCCTTGCAGCAGGCACTGTCTGTGGCCATGCAAACAGCCATCACACAGGGCTGATTTGGCCCAACACAGAGCACATTTCAAGGTTATTTTTCCCTGAATTAGCTCAGCCAGCATGGCACAGGGGCAAGCAGGAAGACTCCACCAAGGGCAGGAGCCCTGGCAGAGTCGTGGAAGCCTCCACTCAGATTAACTCCAGACACAGAGTGAAATGGATGCATGAAAGAGAAGATTTTTCTTGTGTAGGGGACAGTTCATCCCCTCCCTGCCACACTCACTGTTCCTTCCTTTCACTCTGTCCTTGGCATAATACAGTCTGTACCTTTCCACTGCAGAACACATTTTTTTTTTCCTCTTGCAAAGAAGCAGGCAGCCCTGTTGACACCAGGCAGAAGCTGTACCAGAGTCCTTGTTTCCCAGAGGGTCCATCCCCAGGAGCCAGCCAGCTGCCACCCTGCAGAAGAGTGCAAGCCATGGTGTGCCCTTTGTACATCACACACAGAGAATGAACAAACAGGGCTCCTAGAAACAATCCCAAATCACAGGGCTGGCAGAAATCTACCCAGAGCCTGAGTGGATTAACACAGACCTGCACAAGCAAGAGATTCAGGGACCTTTTGGGCTGGAGAGAGTGGGTGGAAACCTAAAAGTCTGTCCTTCTGCTCAGTTTTCTTCAAGTCTGACAAAGCAATCTCTCAGCCCATCCTGCTTCTTACAAGGCAAGTGGGAAGCCAGGAGTGATTTCTCATGCAGTGTTTTGCCATCAGCCACTCTGCAAAGAAGAGGCAATGGATGTCAGAGAAGTGTGGCTGCATGTGCAGAGCAAGTGCTGCTACCACATCCCAAAAGAGAGCTCTGGCTGCAGCAGTTCCCATATATAATATATATTTCCCATTATTTGCTTTTTAGCTGTTTTACTCAGCACACATGTTCAGCTGGCAGGGAAGCTCCTCATCACAGACTAACTTCCCTCAGTGATGGGCTCAGGAAAACCTCCCATCCTCTGATCTTGACCAAACACAAGACTCAAATTGCCCTTCTGTCTCTTCAGCTTTCCCTCAAAGGGAACTGCTCTGTGGAAGAGTTCTGGATGGTTTCCTCACACCTCCCTGGCTCCAGTCCCCATCCTACACATTTTTCCCACTTCATGGGGGAACACAATCAGCCAAGACTGAAGCCCCAACCCAGAAACCTTCTCCCCATGAGGGCTATGCTGTGGAGCAGCTTTTCTCTCTGTCTGCCACATCCCCACATTCCCTTGTCTTAGGAAATGCAGTACTTACAACTTAGAAACATTCTGTCAACACATATCAATTTTGGCAGTTTTTCAATTTAAAAATCTGTCACTTCCCCACCCCCCCCCACCTCACCTGATCCCTGCTCCCATGTCAAGCCTGCTTTTTAGCTGTAAATACAAGGCTGCCACTCCCAGTCAAAGAAAAATATCCTCTGTATCCTCAAATTGGCTTAAAGGTCGTTTAGAGCATAATTGTAAAAAATTATGGGAAAATTAGCTTGGTGTACTTTGCCATCTATTCTTGAGCCTGAAAAGGTTCATTTCTGTCCAAGTGTCTCCACCCAAGACCCTTTTTCCTAGGTGACAGCTAAGGCTCAGCTTGGCATCTGCTCTGGATGGAGCTTCCTCGGAGACCAGAGCTTTCGTGAGTACAGATTTTGTTTTCAACTTGAGCCCTGGGGCTTCCCAAATTCTAAACCTCAGGCGAGTTCCCCTCGCAGTGGCATGCAACATCAGCTGGGTTCCTTCTGACATGGGCTCTGCCTGGTGTAGGAGAAGCCAGAGCACACCCATGCAAATGTGGCAAACCTTAAACTGGAGAGCAGGAGATGAGATGTGCCTGGCAGGCTGAGGAAAGGGATTATCTGCCCTGTTGGATTGTCTTCCATACACCTGGAATATGGGGTGCACTGGACCCCAGTTCAGGAGGGACATGAGGAAACTGGGGAGGGCCCCAAAAGTCCCTCTCCAGGAGTGCCACCTCCTGCATCATTCAAAGCAGCATCTCCTCACCCCTCAGTCAGACAAGGGCTGGGTCAACCCCTCTCCTCCTGCCTCGACTCCCAGAAAGCCCCCATGGCTCCCCCACATGCTGCTTTCTAGAAATGCTGAAACATGGCCAGTCCAGCCTGGAGCAACCACCTGGGCTGGATGGAAGCAGCCAGTCCTGCCTGGGGATGAGGAGTGTGCCCCCAGTCCCTGCCCCCCAACTCACACACTGCCTGCACCCTGAGGCTGCTGCTGCCTCCTCCCCAGCGGGGAAACAGCTTCCTCCTCACAGAGCCCACAGGAAGCACCGTGGTATTTATAGAGCCCTGAGAGCGTCGTGCACAAACTCGGGGAAAAACCTACGCTCAGTCACAAACAACCTCCTGCACCCAGAGCTGCTCTGGGAGTTGGTGCCTCGGGATGAATTCCCAACACACAGGTCCTGGAAGGAGGTTGTAGGACCTTCTCCAGCATAGAGATGGGATGTGGAGCCTTTCCAGGACTATTTCTGACCTTCTCCGCTGTCTCCTCCTCATGTGTCTCCTTCCATCTCCCACCATGCTCCTCCCTTTTCCATCTTTCTCCTCTTTTCTCCTCAAGATCTGTGTGATCCAGGCTGCTCCCACCTGGCAGCTGAGCAAGGACCCTCCAAAGCACAGAGAACTCTGCTGCACAGGACAGGAGAACAAACCTGCTGCCCTGCATGGGGGGAAGAAAAGCAGGAGAGTCAAAGCTGCTCATTGACAAGTGGCCACATGTGCTCATCTCTCTGGGACATCTCTCTGTAAGTGGCACAAAGATCCCTTCCACCAGGAGTTACAGGATGTCAGAGTTTGGCTTTCACCTCGTTTTTTGGAAGCATCTTCCATCTCAATTTTTGGAAACAAAATTTTGCATTCGTTATTTTAGAGAATTCCAAGTTTCTGTTTCTGTTCTCAGTTTGAGAACAGAATTTTCTGCTATCATAAACAGCAGGAAAACATTGAGATTTCAAAATATCCACTTCAAAAGGAAACCTGGAAGTAATTCATTCTGAAAGAGCTCTGAAACAGGTTCAGTTACAACCCTGAACTTTTCTTTCCTGAATGAATTCTGATTCATCTGGCCCAGTTCCATGACTTCTTAGTAAGTTTGTATGAGCTGAGGCAATAGCAATTCCAGGAATTTTTTCCCAGCCACTTCTGGCCCTAACATGAGTCCACTTCCAAGCGCAGTAATGTTCATTTCCATCTGAGCTGGAGGTACCCTTGCCCTCAGCTGTGTCCTGCAGTCAGCCTTCAGGACACAGTGGGTGATGATCCTTCCACATCTCACTGCAAATGACCCCACCAGTGCTTTTGCTCCGCTTCTCTCAGTCCTACAGCTAGCCAAGCATGCCCTGCAAAGCTCTCCTGTGGCTGGGAGAGGCACACAGCCAGGATTATCCACCTTCCACTCCAGAGGGACACAGGGACACGCAGAGCCCAGGCTGGGTGTGCTCAGAGCAGCAGCTCCTTGCAGGAGCTAAACTGCTGGGTCCTTTCCTCACCAAGAAAGCTCCAAGCCAGAGGGGACCTGTGCTGAATCTGTGTCTGGAAGTGCTGCTGTTACCTGAAAATCATCAGGGAGCCAGGGCTGCCTCAGGCACAGGAAAGTAGAGGCTTTGCTACATCGCTCATCTGAGGAGACAAACAAAAATTCCTTGTTCCTCCACCATGGATGTGGAATTGGCTCTCCCAGCTGAGCTGGAAATGGCCAGCATGGGCTGGGTCCACTGCTGGGCCTTCCTGAGCTGTTCCACTGGAATCAGACCCATTTTTAGGGACAGGCAGGCTGTCATGTTTAACAAACCTGCAGAAAACAGTCCACCAGAAAAGTGCTCTGTGCTTACCCCTCCTGTGTCCCAGCTCCACAGCAGCACAGGGAGAGCAGGGAGCCCTGAGGCTTTTGCTGCTTCAGAGAAATGAGGTGGCACAAATCCATCTGCACTCTCTCCACTCATCCCATCTCACCCCATCTCACCCCATCTCACCCCATCCCA